GTTATTACAATGTGGCATAAAGTGTGCATTTGGAAAATATCCGTAGTTTCTATTATTTTTGAAGTCCAACAGATGATATCAATATTTGGTCCCCAAACAAGTTAAGATATCTTAGGTTAATGCAAGAAGCTAATTCCAGAGCACAGTACTGATAAGAATATGCCAGAGGGACACAAGACAAATATCCCGTGGTCCTTTCCCTTCTCTCCACTAACCTGTTACTCAGAAGTTGAGAGACCGGAGATAGATCCATTTATCAAAACACTGAATATATTGATAAATTAAGAAACTGAAAATAAAAGGTCACAACATTTGTGGCATGTTTTAAATGTTCAACATTTTAAAAGTGATACTTTCAACACATAAAGGCAAAACACACGAGTGCATGCATAACTTAATTCTGGATAGAGCAAGAAAACGTAAGGGAAGCCATTGATGAGTGCTCCCCATAGGCCTCGCTTCCACCTCTGCCTTTCCACCTCGTTAAAAAGCACACACCCTGCCTTTCCACCTCGTTAAAAAGCACACACCCTTCGCGCCTGTCTAGTCGCCTCGTCTAGTCCCTTTGCATAACACAGGCCAGAGAAACTGAGTTCCAGAGCGCGGGGAAGGAAGACCATGCTGGGTACCCGGCCACTCTGCAGGCAGGCCGCCATCCAGCCTGCGCGGTCCCCGTCGCCACCTTCGCTTTCCAAGCCCTGAGCTCCGCGAACCCCGCTTCCCGCCTTTCCACCCGGCACCCCCACCGCCACCCCCAGGTGATCACGATCCAGCCTCCGGAGGGGATCTCCTGGGCTCGCGGTCCACACCCGGGGTTCGGGAGAACAGATCACACGGGCCACACCGCACTGGAAGGCACGCACGGTTCCAAATTCACCTCAACATTGGAGTCTAGAGTCGGGGGGATCTTGCCCGCCCTCCTGCGCCTGGGAGCAGCCAGTGGGTCCGCGAAGGCCAGGGGGGAGGGGCGGCCTGGAGAGACCCGGGGGATCCCAGGCCTCGACTCCCTCGGCCGGGCCGCCCGATCGTCGGCGGAGAGGCCTGGCCACCTCGGGGCCAGGGCGGTGCCGGCGCCGCGCTGGGCGGTGGGAACTGGAGGGGCGCGGCCGGGTCGGGGCGCAACTCTCAAGGGCGCGGAGGGGGATGGTGGCAAGGGGTGGAAGGATAAAATAAAAATCACCTATTGGGGGCTGGACTCAGTGGCTCAGCCTGTAATCCCAGTGCTTTGGGAGGCCAAGGTGAGAGGATTGCCTGAGTCCACACGTTCGAGACCCGCCTGGGCAACTTGGCAAGACCTCATCTCTACAATAAATGAAAAATTAGCTGGGCATGGTGGTGTGTGCCTGTAGATCCAGTTACTTGGAAGGCTGAA